ATTTCTATGGTAGTTTGAAAAATTCGCAATTTTTTTCCATACACCATCACAACCAACTCAGCTAAACAGACTACTTTAACAAAAATAAATGCAATGAATTCTAGCAAGTAATTTGTTGTCATCATTTGAGCAGGACACTGTCAGCGCGCATTACCAGTAATAAAGGCAAACACGATAAAATAGAATAGTTGATGAGAAGCTGGAGTAGTAGTGGAAGTAGTAGCAATATATTATGTCGGTTACAGTAGAAACACTGTTACAAGAAATCCCTGCAGGAAAAGATACTAATATTGAATGAAAATTTTTAAAAACATTATTCAACCTGTTTAAACCGAAAATGAATCTTAAGTAAGTATTGCTGGTTGTCTGTAAAAAATATTGATTAATTTTGTTTACAAAACGTTAGGTACGTGCCCAGGCTAAACTATTCAAAAATGCATCCAAATGTAGGCAATAATTTTTTGTTCAGTTTCTGTATTTAAACAAATTAGATCCCAAAACAGCGGATAGCACAAATAATATAGAAAAAAGCTCGTATTTAGTTTAGCATTTTAAAATCTCTTCAGTCCATTTAGTCGTAGGGAAATTCTTGCTATAATTTTCAGTTAAGATAATAACAGGCTGAATTTCTAGTCCGCTAATTTTTACTGAAATCCAATTCAATAATCCGTTTGGAATGTTCAAACTTGTTTGTCTTTGGATCTTACTCTCGAAATAAAGTTTGAATTTTATAAGCACTTAAATTGTCTATGTCTTGATTTCAATCTTCCTTCTAACATATTTGGCATATCTGACTCCCTCTTTCTTTAAAACGACTTTTTTGTTCTCGACAGCAAAAAAACCTCGCTCATCGTGACTTAGTATCAGTACGAAATAGCTTTGGGTTTGATAATAAAAATACAAAAAAAAATTGAATGGAAACAAAAACGAAAACTGTTGGTTTATATCATAAGATTTTCAAATTCTAATTTTGGATCTTATGCAAAAATTTATTTAATGCTTCCGAGCTCTATAAGAAACCGTTGATATTGAAAGAACAACCCAAGAAAATTTTACAGCTTACCAATGTTAGCTTTGCTATTCTATTTCCATTACGTTAAGTGTGTGTCTTTGCTAAACTCTTCAATATTACACCTAAATGTAGGCAAAGCTTTTCAATTTCGTTTACAATTTTGGATTTATGCATTCAAAAATTGCAAGTGATATGTATTTCTGTTTATATAAACCAAAAAAAAAAAATTAAGAGACTTAAACTGAAATCTTTTAAATCAAAAGCGGAAAAATATTCAAGGGAATGGTTTGTAAGAAATATATTTTTGTAATAAAAGAAGAGATTTTCTAACGACGATTTTCATTGAGGTTACCAAATGTACCTGCAAAAGATTTTTATTCCATCTGTTAGCAAATATAAATGTAAAAATTATATATTTTTGAAGAAAATTATCAACTATAAGCGAATAAGTGTTGATTATATTAACTATTTAGGATTCGTTAGCTCGTATTTTCTATTTTTTGTTTCGGTGAATTTCCTGCCGGTTATGCCCATTCTTACATGCGTCCGCAGCGGAATGAAGTATGAAGTTATTTGTTGTATATTTTCCATAGTACAGTGTGCAAACTCGCGCCAAGCAGCTTTAAATTATCACAACTAATGATGACTACACATCTCCAACACTCCCACCTCCAACCACCAACCAATCGACATACTAAGTACTAGTTAGTCGATGGAATTGCTTACAACAGCCAAACACAGATAACAGCGCCATAGTCATCACTCAGCACACGCTAGGCTAGAGTTATTGTTGCCGCCCAGCATGGAAGCTGTGCCCACCGCCACCAACTTCACATCACTTTTATGATATGCCTGTATGTATGCACATAGGACGTTGACAGTTTCTCATTATGTCGCGTCTCGAGTTGAAAATGAATGAGTGAACGCGCGCGCGAAAATGGGCAACGCGACATACAAATGGAATGGAATTTCGCAGAGTGGTCCTGACTCGGTCGCGCCAACCAACAGTATTGCTTTCTGGCAGCGGAGTACATTGTGCTAAAAATGTCAGTTGTCATTGTTGAAAATTGTTTCAGAAAAAAAAAAACTTATTTCCACCAGCAAGGGAATGGCTGTGCTGCTGCTTGGATGTGGGAGTGCGGTGTGGGAGGAAATTATTGGATGTTACAATGAGTGCAGAGCTTTTTAGTTGTAACAACATTCGGCTTATTGTCATTAACTGGAATTTGTGCGACAATGTGCTGTGGCGTTGCATAGTATAACAAAGTGAAACAACAACAAAGTGAGTAATAAGCTCACCGACTGACTGCGGCTGGAGCAGCCGAAATGACAAAAATAACCATAATTATAACGGTGGCAATGATGTTGTTGTGTACTACCACATCAACACAAGCGGTCGCTGACTACAAAAACAAAACAAAAAAGGACGAATAAACAACAGCAACAACATTAATAACATTGTTGCAGAAAAAAGAGATTTACTGATGGCAGAAAATATTTTTCAACGCCAACAGCAGAAGTTTCTCACACGCAAACTCACATTTCGCTGTTTTCAATTTTAATTTTTCATTTCCAACAAATTCTGTTGTGTTTAGGAATCGTTCACGCATACTGATGTTTCTTTTTATTTTTTATTTAATTTTAAATTTTTTAACACACTGTTTGGCAATTTTGCTCGAGCTGGGTTGGTTGCAAAGTGTGAAAAGTTTTAATGAATTTGAGGCGGAGATAAATGTAATTATGAATTTTTGCTTATTTCGTGGTGTTTTTGTTATGATTTGTCCTTCTAACCATTGTCGTGGGAATTAAATTGAGAAATCTCATCTTTAATTTCAAAAATATTTAACTTTTTTTAGTTTTTATTAAATTTAAATAAATACAAAATATGCTCAGATAGCAAGCCATTTTTCGTGTTTGATCTAATTTTATGCTTCCAATATTTCAAATTGAAATAAGTGGTAATAATCAGTTGGTTTGTCTCTCACCCGTAGAGGCGTGAGAAACTCCTGTGTACGATGTAGTAACCAACAACGGTCACGGATCTTGCGTCACGGATAGAAGAGAGGAAAGCTAAGAGAAGGCATTCCAAGGTATACGACTTAGGGGTTGACCAGAAAGGCGTTCGCATGTTAGCCTAGGCAAAGCAAAACCAAGCCCATCAAAATATCGGTGATCTGCGTCAACGCTTCGCCACAAGAGACGGACAATGTGACCAACGGTGCTTCTTATAAAAGCAAAAAGCCACATATTTGGTAAAATGGTCGACAAATGAACGCTCCATTACAATACTTAGTTTTACTGTCAATTCAGTGGTTCAAACAGCTTCCGATCTTAGACCAAGTATACCCTGGATAGCTAACAAACATCCGTTTGGAGGCGAGCTAAAGTGAGAAGGCGAATCCCATGCGGTTGTGCGTAGGGCTCGGCACCCACCACATGAAAATAAACTCCAATGAAAAATGAATTATATTATGCCTCGGATGAGAGACCCCTTTTCTGTTGACGACCACCGTAAATGTTTTAAGGATTATGATTTGAGGGCATGTACCTGGAATGTCCGGTCCCTTAATTGGTGCCACTGCCCAGCTGGTTGATGTCCAATTCAAAAGCTAACATCACAGCCGTCCAAGTAATGCGATGGACGGGACACGGACGAAAGAAGGTGGATCCTTTTGAAATTTTCTACAACGCCAACAGCGCAAAATTGGTGTCAGATTCGTGGTGATTTTTGGCAGTGTTAGAAAAAAGAGTCCGAAGTGCGTGAGTATGAAGAGCTTGAGAAGCTGGCCGACAAGGGCAATGCTCGAAAATCCCATGAGAAGATAAGGCGACTCACGGAAGGTTTCTAGATCAGAGCAAACTCTTGTAGAACCCAGAGGGGTGATCTAGGGACGGATGCCCAGAGTATACTGAATCTATAGAGGGAACACTTCTCCAACCTACTGAGCGGCAGTGAAAATGAAACACCTGGGGACGGTGAACCCGAAATCCCAATTGATGATGATGGAACAGATGTTCCGCTTCCTGACTATGACGAAGTTTGAATAGCGATTGCCAGTTTAAAAAGCAATAAAGCGGCTGGGACTGACGGCCTACAGGCAGAACTATTGAAACAACGCGGTAAAGATGAAAGCTTGCCCGACGATTGGAATCTAAGTATACTCTGCCCAATCTACAAAAATGGCGATCCCACATCGCGTATAGGGTCCTTTTGAGCGTATTGTATGAAAGACCAAAGCCCACCGTCAACAAACAGATTGAACCTTATCAGTGTGGCTTCAGACCTGGTAAGTCAGCTATCGAGCAGATTTTAACGATGAGCCAAATCTTGGAAAATACCCGTTAAAAGAGGATCGACACACACCACTCATTTCTTCGATTTTAAGGCCGCCTTCGACCGCACGAAAAGGAGATACCTATACGCCTCTATGTCTGAATTTCGTATCCCCGCAAAACTTATGCGGCTGTGTAAGCTGACGCTAGACAACACCAGAAGCGCAGTCAGAATTGGCAAGGACTTCTCCGAGCCGTTCGGTACCAAACGAGGTTTCAGACAGGGTGACTCCTATGACGCAGAGGCGTGGACGATGTCGACAGCTGATGAGTCGGAATGAAGAGACAGCGGCTCGTTGGCTAGGTAATGGTGTCCGATTGGATGAAATCACTCGAGCTTTGAAAGTATTCGATGCAGTACCCACCGGTGGAAGCAGAGGAAGGGGAAGACCTGCACTCCGATGGAAGGTTCAGGTGGAGGGTGACTTAGCCTAACTTGGTACTTCCAACTAGCGCCAAACAGCGCAAAAAATGGATAAATGGCGCGCCTTAATTAATTTGCCTCTAATTGCGTAAGCGGTGCCAACGCCAATAAAGAAGAAGAAGAAGAAAAACAAGTTCATTGCATATTTTTTCGAAATTTGATGAATTTGTTAAATTAGTACATATTTATTTCTTTAACACAAAATTTATTTTTCATTGTATTTTAATTTACCTTGTGTATTTGTAGCTCTTAATATATCCGTGACGCTCACAAATGTTTATTAGAGAAATCTGTAAAAGAAGGAATAATTACAATAATACTGAGGCAACATTTAAAAATTAGATTTCTAAAATATTTTTTATTTATATAAGTGCAAAAAAAAAAATTAAATTTATAAGAGTAAATATTTTAATTTAATACTTTTTTTTATATGTATAAATCGCCACTATCGCAAGTCATATACACTTATATTGACGAGAAAGAGACACAATATAAAAACACGAAAATAAACATTTAAATATAGTCATAATCGGTCATTGTTATGCAATCAAAGTTCCACCTTGGCAATTAAATTATAGTTAAGAAGTCTACATACCGCACATGCAACCCGCTATTTGTACATTAGTGTACATATGTCTACAAAGTCACACATATATAGTGCCTACCGCATTCTACGCTGTCAAATGTAATTTTCCATAACTCCGTTATATATTTATTAATGCATACATATGTAGTATATGTGTGTTTGTAATGTTTTATGTCGCTCAAAGCATTGTCCTTTATGCAACACCTACATCTATACACCTGGGTTTGCTTGTACCAGCTATTTGCTTAATAATATACATTAGGGTGGATAGGATAGGCATTCTTGTATATTTTTAAAATTTTATTTATGGCAAATAAATTTTATTTTAAATTTTAGTATTGCAAAATTGTGTGGACAAAAAAAGTAAAATTAAAAATTTCAAGCCACTTCTTGTATGCATTTCAGCCTTTTTGTTTGTACTTATTTAAAAAAAAGTTAAATATTTTCATCGAGAATTTCATTTTATCTGTTTGATTATTTTATACATTCAAACAATATAAAAATTATTTCTTTTAAAGTTTATGCAAAATTTTACAAGAAAAATTGTAGTTGCGTATACGGAGTGTTCTACTCGTAATGTTCCTTCTCTATGAACAATTATTGTAATTACTCTGACTTGATATTAAAAATGAAATATTTTTTAATTAGCGCGCACCCTGTTGTGTATAAATTTGTATGTTACGTTCAATGCCCCTCACCACTCTCGGCGACTTAGCAGCCTACACTAACTGCGCTGTATGCATTTGATTGAACAATGTTGTAATGGCATTTTAGATTCTTATCGCTAACCGACGTAATGGCTTTAACTAACGTTGCGACCATTATGCTTTGGTGGAACAGGTAGTTTTGTGATCGGTGGCTGGTCATAAGTTGACATTTAACTTGCGGCCTATAAATTCAAAGAGTTTAATGACTAGTCGGCCAACAAAAAGCTCATATGCCAATATAAAGCTGCATGTATGCTATTCGCGTTCATTGTGTTAAGTCATGAGTGGTCATTAACAATGGGTGCATGTGTGTATATGTACATATATAACTGTGCATTTATTTATAATAACTACATTTGTGTGCCTATGGGAACGACATGACGTATACGTTACATAGTCATAATTTTTATTTGTAACTGAAAAGTGCAGCACATATATACATACACTGTACATACGTATGGTTTGTAGTTTTTTAGCCAACAAACAATAAAGTTATTAGCTCACTATCATTCTTTAGAATGACATGATAAATGAGTCATTTATGTTGAATATTTTTTTCTTTTGATTTAACAAATTTAAGATTTATTATCGAAAATTGATATAGGTATATGTATGCATAACTTTAAAATTGGTAATGGCAGGTATAATGAACAGAATCTCCTTAGATAGGAAAAGAAGTAGAAAATTATATGCGATATTATTCGAGAATTTGAATTAAATTTAATGATGAGGCTTCCAGTGATTATAATTCATCTCCCAATAACAATTTAATAAAAGACTTCAAATTATTGTTTTCGATTTTTTTTTAATTTTTCTTTTTAATTTCTTTACTGAAATAAAATATTATAAATAATTCCTTGCTACATTATATTTTTTAAAAATATCCTTAATATTTTAATATTTACGTGTGATGTGTTTATATATGTATATGATTGGCTCTTAGTCCTTAACTAATTGGTAAAACGCGTCTGGAGTTTTTTCAACATTCATAGGGACCCAAAGTTTCAACTAAGCCTCCTACGAGCGGCTGATAGATTTTTCCGTAGAGCTTTTTCAGGTCAAAAATAAACTCGGAAGGGTTGACAGCTTCTACGAAGCAAAATTAATACTTCAGGGAGGATGAGTTAGTTTATGGAGGCTACAAATTTATTTAACTGAGTCTCTGCTGAGCCTCGTATTAGAGATGGGCGATCATCATCATTGCAGCTTCTGCTACATATTTTAAAGTGAGCCCCTAGTTTATCCGTGTGCCTTCCTACGAGACAGCAGCATGATAGAACTCTCATTGATCCTATTTCAGTTTCACAATGCCTTTGGAAAGGTCGCTGAGGCCACCTTAGGTTTGAGAAAGGTATTGTGTCTGCACTCAGACCAGGTCCGCTCCGTGACTGTGCCGATCTTTTGAACTAAAATTGATCCACCGATGTGAACGTGATCTTCTCCCACTCCCAGCAGGACTCTACTATAATGCTCTTTCTTACGATGCTTTCACTGGTGTTTCCATGTGTTATCCGTGATTCTTTAAATAAGGAAATTTTTTTGTGAATCTGAGTTTGTTTTATGAATCTCCACTCATAGCCGCACTATGGAATATCATGTTTATCCATGGGAATGCAAGGAGCCATATCAATGTTTGGCACCCAACTTTGGGATTTAAGAAACTTAGAGACAGATCTAGTGCAAGCAACAAGAGTCTTCACAACTATACCTACACCATCAACATAACCACGACGAGATCGGAACGTACTTGGAGACTTGTCAGGGTTTTTACCAGTCGGTGAGAGTCATGATAAATCGAAGGTAAATTACATTAGATCGAATCGCTGAAAGCAATAAAGACTAAGTAATAAAAACCAAGTTAGGGCAATGGCTCGGGAATTGAAAGAATCACTCAAGACTTAATCTCTAATGTAAACTTTATTGAAGGTGACAAAATTAATACGAATAAATTAACATTTTGTTAAAACAAGGAAAACTTTTATAATTTTATAAAAACACTTATTATTTGTTGCATTCAGAAAAAATAAATTAATTCTGAAATATACTTTTAAGAGTATAAAAAATTAAGAAATAGTTCAGTGACGTGAACTCAGAGTAAGGTTAGGTTGAACTGGTTGTGTCCTTGGGGCTACACTTTGCTATACGTAAACAAAGCTTTGTACTGTTCCTCTCACCAAGTATGATCAACTTCTCCCTGCTAAACTGTTATGTGTGCTTTTGTCCCACCATTAGGATGGTGCGTTAATTGTCCTATTTCGATATTCCTCCGTTTCTATTAGAGTTACGAATATTGTTCATATTCATGTTTATTGGAAACGTAATAGTTTTTTACTGTTCTGAAAGGACTTTAGCAAGCAAATGCTCAAAAGTTGAACATAAAAGAGTTTTTAATATAAACCTAATTTTCTAACTAAATTAATATGAAAAATTAATATGAATTCCCTTATAACTTTTCATTATGACAAAAGAAAAGAAGAAAATTTTATTGTTAAGTAAATAAAAAAATTAAAATCACTTTGCAAAAGGTAACAGTTACAGAGGAAAAAAATGTTGCATACTTCCAGGCGTACAATTTCAAATCTGTGTCTTAACAATAATTTAATGATTTTTTATTGCTTTTTCTTTACAATGTTGGCTATTATTTCATGCTGAGAAATAACTGTAATTAATGTTTTAATGAATTCAAATGAGTTTGTGATATACTAGAGTACGAATATGTAATTATGTGGCTCGGACAAATGTCATTGATCCACTATATGCTTGCATGTTTGCATGTTTCCAAAACATTGTCGGCTTAAGAGTCACGAAAGTTGCAGGAAAATCACATAATCAGTGAAACCGTACAACAACTTACGTGTGCCAACAGTTCAAGTCTGTGAACAGTTAAGCATTTGGAGGTCTGGTTTGCTTATTTGTTCATTACTTTTATCAAAAGAGTGACTTATGAGCTAAATAAAAATTTATAAATAAATTATTGCTACTTTAATTAATGTTAATTGCGCTTGGCCAATGCTATTTCTTGCTACAAACTGATGCAGAATAATGAAGAATTAGCACAATTTATCATTACTCGAAGCAGATTTCGAGCTAAAATGCAAAAGAAAGCAAATATGGCTAAAATTGTGTTGGAAAGAATAATATACTGAGCACATCTACCGTTGAATATGAAGAAACAAGCTGTTGGCTAATTTATTATTCATAATAATAATTGACATACAAACACACTTAAGCGAGTTAGCTTTCATAGTGCGACATAACCGTAGATTACATATATATTCACGTGCGATATAATAAAAATATTCCTGATACATTTAGAGAGCCAAGAGAAGATGAGGTGCCGTAATGCATAAATTACACGTTAACTCACTCAAATTCAGCACAATGCAAACAGCAGCAAATTTTATGTAATTAATCAATGTTGATATGCATATGCGTGTGTGCACGTGTGGTTGTGTCAGTGTGTTGGGCTGTAAAATATGCCTGAAATGCATGAGCGCACTTACTTACAAGTTCGCAAGCATACTTCAGTGCACACACACACATACACATAAACGCACACTGGCAATTTGACCGACTAATTGCTCAATCAGTGTAGTAATGCATTTCTCTGTTCGTGACACGAGACGGTCGCCTCACTGTCGATAGCAATGTTGGTGATGATAATGAGTGAAAGGTTGAAATGTGAGAGCAAGCTACCGAAGCCAATGAATGGCGGTAGTGTGCTATACAGACATATATGTAAATATTTATATAAAAGTGTCTGTGCGGACGTTAAGGATATCCAGCTTAATAAATGGAAAGAAAATTCTAAAGTAAAACTTTCAATAAAATTTCAAGTTCAATAGTTTTTCTTTCATTAATATCCAAAAAGGTAGTAAAAAAAGATATTAATTTTAATTTTAATATAAATATTAAAATATTATAAAATTAAATTTATTTTCCATATAAAGTATATTAAAGAAATGTACTTTTGGTATGATTGTTCCAAGGCGGAACT